TTAGGGCCCCATGCAATAGAGTCATACGTACCTCGTCTATCCGCGTTTGCCCTTTCTCATTCTCTGGCAGGGCTCACTTTCCTGTACGGATAAATTTGTCACTGGGATTGGAACTTTTTTTGTCTCCAATCCACCATAATCGAGGCGGCTCCAACTTGCGGTCAGCCTTAGGTATCCTAAATTAGTCATCCGTCCACAAAAGATTTCAAAAAGGTAACATGTCTTCGCCGACTTTTCTGAGCCCCTATCGCGAGGAAGTAGTCCATAGTACCCATACTCCTCGCCTGAGCACGAGGCCCAGATATCAGAAGTAGGCGTTGGCTTCACCGCAACAATATTGCACCACCCCCTTAAATGGGTCTATGCGGTGTACCGCACCTCCCCGCAGCCAGCCTCGAAGGTCGTGGATCCAGGAAGAGTCATTCCTAGTGATCGAGGTCAAGCATACCGTTGATGGCCTCACCTTTCTTCTCCTCTTTTGCTTGGGTGACTTTGATGCAATAGGAGCAAAGAGGGTAGAGAACATGACTTTTTGGAACATGTCTAGGCGAGAGGAGGTCATTCGGGATAGCATGGGTGTCTTGGGAAAAGGCTACGTTCATTGCCATCTTTATTTCTTCTTATCGGATTGGTTCCTTCTCCAATATTCATTCGAAATACATGGTGTGACCCAACCCGACTAATAACACTTAATTTGCTTCACATAAGTGCTTGAGTATTTTCAACGGCCCATGTAGACCAATCATACGTACCTTGATTATTCTTGAGTATCCTTTGCTTTCCTTCGATAACGTTTACTTGAAAGCGGCCTAAGTTTATTGTTGTTTTTTAATCTTACAATCGAGACTCTTCCTTTCTAACTATTCATAAAATTCATATTATTATATCACAGAATATTTAAGCTGACATTTTTTTTTTCTTTCAAACTTCTTACTCATCTCAACCGGTTTTGAACATTATCTCATGTCTATATTTTAAGGGATACTCACCTGATTGTTTTTTAAGAATAAGAAGAACAGTATAAGAACGAACACACAAAACCATACAATATTGACAAACAAAATTTAACAAATGTTAGCAACTAAGCATTAATATCATCTCCATTACCATGAACACGTACAACACGAGATCACATACCAATAAACGACTAAGGTGACTTTTATTTGTATATATCAACAATATTTTTTTTCCATTCCATGATTAGTTCTCAAGAAAAGAAATACAAAAAAAAAAAGAAAAAAAAAAGGGAAGAGAGAGAAATGGTTTAAATAAGAGAGACACAGAGAGAGACAGAGAGACAACTTAAATAAGATAGAGAGAGCAAGAAAGAGAGAGAGAGACGTAAACAGGAACGACTTAAATAAAAGACAAAGAGACGACTTAAATGTGCATGTGTGTGTGTGTGTGTGTGTGTATGTGTGTGTGTGTGTGTGTGTGTGTGTGTGAGAGAGAGAGAGAGAGAGA